TCCTGACCTCGTGATCCGCCCATCTCGGCCTCCCAAAGTGCTGGGATTACAGGCCTGAGCCACCGCGCCCGGCCGTGTTTCAATCTTTTAAATAAAGCAGGCCATCTTTCTTTCTGAGTGTGACCTTGGAGTTACACATACGCAAAACAGATTTGCATCTATTCTCCATCTAACAGGCTCAACAGACAATGCACAGTTCCTCCTGTCAACAGACATTATTGACACTAGAGTCATAAAATGCATCTCCAAGATGGGGAAGTCAGTTCAAGAAAGATTATCTGTATCACTAGTTTTCTCTTTCCATTTCCAACCCCTTGGCTCTAGGGGTGTTGCCCCCACCCCTCATCTTCTTGGTTCAGGGGCTCAGCTCCTGTTTGTAGCCTCAGGACAAGATGTTACCAGGGAGATCTTTAGAAATGCAGAATCTCTCACTACCCCACAACAGAATTGCACCTGCATAACCAGCGCCCCAGGTAGATCCGGCTGAGAAGCTATGATGAAGGGTAAGGTTTACCAAATGTTCCTGGGGACAAGTTCTCCTGCGACACTGGTTTAAACTAGGAATTCCCAAAAGGTCTGATTAATGAGTTTGGAGTGGAACCCAGGAAACTGGGTATTTAAAACAATCTCTCCTGCGATTCTTAGAAAGTAAATTTATAATGGGGAGGAGTCAAAGATAAGCATCTGAAAACAATTTTCACCCAGTGTGGCGCTTCGAGACAGCGTTACGTTCTTTTGTTGAAAGGAATTTGTGGCATCTGGGAGTGGAGCAGAGACCACTTCCCAAACTCCTGTTCTTCTTCTTCTTTTTTTTTAAATTCCAACAATTCAGAAGGAATTAAAGTAAAAGACGTAAGTTCTCCGGTTGCTGATATCTGGTACCTGAGATCAAGGCAAGATTGCTTAAACCAGTAAAGTGAGGATTATGGGGGCAAACTCAGGAATAAAGAGGGTGAGCTCGGCCTGGAAGGGGACACAGGTTTGGCGACCAGATGGGTCACCAATTGGCCCGGCCTTATCCAACTGCGCACGCCGGTGGGCCACAGCATCGCAGGGCTGGATCTCCGGGTCGGGAGAGGCGGATGGAATTCAGCCTCTGTTTCAAAACTGCCAAAGCCACCCGCTCTGCCAAACTCCCCCACCAGCCAGCTCTGGGGCAGCCCCCCGGAGCCCGCCCGCTCACGTCCCCGGGACAAGGGCGCAATTGACCAGCGCGGGCAGCCTCCGGCCCACCCAGATGACGGCCAACTTTTTTTTTTTTTTTTAAGCCATCAAATTCAATATTTACAGGCACAACCCCATGCTTGGTTCTAAAACTACTGGCCACTCAAGGAACAGTTTACTTCTCACTTCTGCCCATAATAAGAAAAACAGACTTGTGCCTTGCTCTTAAAAGAAAAAAAAAAAAGAATAATAAATATAGGTTTTAAAAAAATTTTATATAATTTTTAAAACCCCGTTTGTTGCATGTGGTCCTTTTCCCTCCTGTTGCTGAACAGAAGAAAAGCCTATTTTGCCAGGGCCCACAGTCCTGGCGGCCCCCGCAGCTGCGGCCCTGTAACTTTAAACCTGGCCTGAGATCATCGTTTTGGCGCCGGCCAAACAGAGCCCGAGGGCGGGCCTAGCGCGCCCGGACGGAGACCACCTTGCGGCCGACCCCGCTCCCCCGCCTCCTCGGGAGAGATAAATGCTGAGTCCGCTCGGAAAAGTTCTCAACTGCAAAGTTTGCTGTCCGGCTGCCTGGGGTCTGGGAAGCTCGGGCACCCTCCCGCGCCGGGGCTCCTGCTTCCACCGCTCCGGCCCCCACCGTCGCGCTCCTCCAGGCTGGGCCTGTGGCCGCGGCGCTTTTTAATCTTCCCCTAGCGCAGAAACTTGCTGCTCGGCCCCCAGGAGAGCAACTCAACGGGAACGATGTGGAAGGTGTCAGCTCTGCTCTTCGTTTTGGGAAGCGCATCGCTCTGGGTCCTGGCAGAAGGGGGTAAGGCCCAGCGCAAGTGGCTTCCTGCGGTCGCTGATGGGGACGAGCGAGCAGAGACTTGCTGGAATGCCCGGGCCTGGTATTATTCGAGGTTGTCCAGGGGAGCGCGGGGGAGCTGAGGGTGTGTGCGTGCCAGGCGGCTCAGCGCCGGAGGAGGAGAGGCAGCGGCTTAGCCGGTGCCAGGTCCCAAAGACGCAGCTGCGCGGGTGTGCAGGGAGGAGCCCCGGAATCCACAGGCTGCGAGGTGGGCAGCAGAGGGGGCCTCCCTCCGAGTCGGCAGCGCCAGAGAGATTGGGTGGAAGGTTCACAGGAGGCAGCCCCGCTTGCTGGCAGCAGTGCCTGGGGTTTCCTTACCATAGGGCGGTGTGTTGGAGGAATACGCACGCCTCGGGAGAAGCTGGCCCCATAGAATCGGGAGGGACGTTCAGGAGGGCTGGGGCTAAGAGGAGGGTTCCCCCCTCTGCGGTGGCCCTGGTCCCCCTTGAGACTACCTAGTCTGGTGCCCTGCCTGTTGGACGCCCTCAGCACCCCATCGCTGGACTGGAAGAGGCCTCCTTTATCCTCTTTAGAGAGGATGGTGTGTGTGGAAAGGATCCAAGTGGAGGCTTCCGAGCGGTATGAGTGCATGAAAATTGTTACACGTTATGAACGTTGAGGTTTAAGTGGGTTTGAGCCACGTGTTCATCTTGGGCAACAACGACAGTGGCTGAATGCCTGTTGCTGACTCCTTAGGCTTTAAATGTATTGGATCCCATGTTGGGGTGGGGGCGTCCACAGCTTCTATTCTCCTTTGTCCGCTCCTGGAGCCTTACCTCTTCCTGCTGGGTTGCTGTGTTGGTGGTCTCCGTTGACATCTGTCAACATTTTGTTTCTTTTCTTGGGTTTTTATTTTTATGTTTCCTCAATAGAACACATGTTCCGAAGGACGCAGCTTACATCCAGCTTTGATTCCCCACAGCCAAAACAATGCCTGGCACATAGTAGTTGCTCACTAAATGTTGGTTGAAGGAATTGTAAGCTAATTCGTGATCTTTGGGGCTGGAGGTTGCTGAGCTGTGCTGTGAAAAGTAAACATTTTCCAAAAATTGAGGATCAACGTAGGCCTAGGCCCAGAGGAATACTTCTTGGAGAGGGAGTGGTTTGCAGGAGGGGTGCTCCTAACCTGGGCTCCTACAGTTGTCCACACAGACAAAAATACCCAATCTCAGGGAAATGATAGAGTGTACTGCTCTGTGCTGGGCTGTCTGCTTCAAAGGAACAGAGCAACTCTTTTTATAGGGGCCATGGGTTATTCGTGGCAGTCCTATCTTTGGAACTTCTCTTTCCACTGGAATATATACAGTTCTGTATTTTCAGTTACATTTCCTTTCTGGCGAGACAATGTGCAAATGACACCGTTTTGTGCTCACCAGGGCAAAGTGAGGGAGTGCCCTCACTTCAGCATCTCAGCCCTGCTAAAGAAAAAGCGGCTGGGTAACATCCTTTGTTTTTGCCCAGGGAAGCTTTAGCTGTCATTCTCTTCAGCCAGCTCCTGAATGTCAAAGGTACTCCTAAAAGATGGCATTAAAACCGAAAAACCATCGTTGGTGCTGGAAACTCCACTACTAAAGAAAGAAGTGGTATGGGGGGCTGGCTGAGTGAGGGTGGGTGCTGAGTTGCCTGGCTGCCAGAGGAGCAGAGGCCCAGCAGGGTTTTTGTCTGAGAATAATGAGCGAGGCGACTTGAATATGGATGAATAACATTACTGAGCGAGGCTATGGTTGGCTTTTGTTGGGGAGCTGGGCTGGGGGGGTAATTACGGTGATGAATTTTATGATCCTTTTCATAAGATCCTACGCCCTACTGGCTTTCCCTCCTCCAGCGTTATAATCTGGTTCAGTTTTATCATCTGGTCCCATGTGTCATCTCTTTGGGTGTTAGTGGATTCAAAGGAGGTCTGTTGTCCACACATCTGGTGTTTTCTTCGTCAGGCCCCACCCTCATGCTGAACTTTCATCGGGAAGGCACGTTTTCGTGGCCTCTTCGTTGGACAGTTTATTTTGTGAGATTCTGCAAGCTGCTGCTCGCTGCTAACCCACATGTGCTTTTCCGGGACCAATCCACCCAGGATTAATCATGCGGCCAACAAATTTCCCTGTGATTTCCCCGAAACGCTTGCCAGTTTGGAGGCCCTGAAATCCTCATGAGTTGTTAAGAGTTTTTGTTGCACTGAAGGCACTTAATAAAGATCAGGTCTGTTAGAGGCTTTGTGAGGGCGGTCTCTGCATTGCACTGGTGTATGAGATCCAAAATAGCATTGAATATAGAAAAGCACAATTTAAAAAGTGTGTCCAGGCATGAGAAGACTGAGTCTGGACGTGGCCGAAGGAACTAAACCCCTGACTTTCTTTGACTTCTGTAAAATGAGCAGCACCCGAGTGACTCTACACTGTAGAATTATAAGGACCCCAAGCCTTGGCGTGACAGTGGAGGGTCAGACCAAGAAAAAACGACAAGACCATCCTTCCATTCCCATCGCCCGCCACGTGCTAGGAATGTTTCTAGCTACCTCTTTGGATCCTTGTAACACCTGTAAATTACATGCTCTTATCTTGGAATATACCAGAACTGGGTTTGAAAAATAGGTCTAACTTCAAACCTCAAGCTCTTTTTACTACACTACTCTGCCATTAAAAAAAAAAAGAGAGAGAGAGAGAGAGAAAAAAGAAGAGCTGGGCACAGTGGCTCACGCCTGTAATCCTAGCACTTTAGGAGGCCGAGGCGGGCGGATCATGAAGTAAGGAGTTTGAGACCAGCCTGGCCAATATGGTGAAACCCCATCTTTACTAAAAATACAAAAATTAGCTGGGCATGGTGGTGTGCGCCTGTAGTCCCAGCTACAGGCTAAGGCAGAAGAATTGCTTGAACCCGGGAGGCAGAGGTTGCAGTGAGCAGAGGTTGCAGTGAGCCACTGCACTCCAGCCTGGCAACAGAGCAAGACTTCGTCTCAAAAAAATAAATAAATAAACAAAAAATAAAGAGGTTGAGCTTGAAATTAAAGGTTAACCTCACTTTAAGCCCCTTAAACATAAAAACAAAATTTTCTAAAGATACGAAAATTCTTTCCCATTAAATGTTCTCCGTAATATCCTTTTAAGAATGAAATTGTCACAATACATTAAAATAGGATTGATTTATTCATTCTGCAAATAGTTATTAAGCGTTTCCTGAGTTCTTGGTGTGTTACTAGATGCAGAATTTGAACTACATGCACTTTTGAGAGAGGCACACCTCACATTCTATAGTGTGCCCTGCAGTCCTCACCAGCAAGGCAATGAATGTGCACTTTTAAATTCCATCGGCTTATCTGAATATTTGTCATATTTCTGGCTTTGGAGAGCGGGCATGCCAGGTTATAACTTGTGGAAATACGATGGGGGGAGGAGGAGGGAGCAAGAACTGAACTACTCAGGATTACCCTGGTGAAATTCATTTGACGAATCTGAATCGGATCCTGTAGGGCTCTTCCAGGAGGCCTTGCCACTCTTGATGCCCCAAAACCTCTCAGGGAAATACCCGGTGTGCACATTTTATTGAAGAGAATCAACTGATGGAGGGTGCTGGACACTTCCAAGTGGACAGTTATTGTGATGAGTCTTAGGATTCTCATTTGCTGGGCAAGAGATAAAGCTCCGTGATTAGGCATTTTATACAGGGGCTGTGAGCTAGA